ATAGTTATAAAAAAATTAAAATTTTCTAACAAGATATATTTATATATAATACTCCATCCGTCCTAAATATAAGTATTTTTAGCTATGAATCTGGAGAACTGTGTGTCCATATTCATAGCCAAAAGTTGTTACATTTTGGGACGGAGGTAGTATATCACTTCGTAAACAGTCAAACATGCAATATTAAATTCGACTTCTACACGTTGTAATAAAAATAACAAATTAGAATCTAACTAATAAAAAATTGGTAATGTAATAGCATTGCACAGTAAAGTTACACTATAATATACTTGTTATATAGGAAAGTGATTTCATCCTTCGAGGGGATATCCCCTCATTTCGTGAATGTCACCTAAATATTCATCAAGAAATATGAAAAAAAATGGTAACATAAAGTAATATGAAATATAGCACTTCACAAACATGCAAGTTTAAATTCAACTTCTATAAGTTGTAACAAAATAACAAGGACATGGCTACACAGCTAGCTACCACTCCATCTATGATAAACACTATCCACCTACACTTCAAATACAATTTTCTCTTAAACTACTCATCCGATCTACAATCCGATTACACCGTTGTGTTCGTAAAAATTAAATCTTTATAACAAAATCTCACATGATTATATTTTGATGAAAAAATATAAATTACTTTTGTAATATATCTAGATTACTTTTAGATTTCACTAAGTTACTTCTTAGACATATAAAAGTAATTCAATATAACCTAAAAGTAATTTATATATATTATAGAAGTAACTTATAACAAAAAGAAAGTAACTTCTATAATATATGTTAATTACTTTAAAACTTTATTGAATTTACTTTTATATATTTAAGAAGTACCTTAATGAAATCTAAAAGTAATCTAGATATATTATAAAAGTAATTTATGATTTTTTATCAAAATATAATCATGTGAGATCTTGTTCTAAAGATTTAATTGTTACGAACACAACGATGCAATCGGATTGTAGATCGGATGAGTAATTTAAGAGAAAATTTTATTTGAAGCATAGATGATAGGAGTATTTGTTCTACATGCTTGATCAATTAGTAATTTAGTAAAGTAAGATTCTTCAAGACATATCTGAACAACGGCTGATTGGATAATAGGGTCGCTCATTGTGACTAAATCGAGAGCGCTCTCGATTTAGATTTTACGAAATAACAAATATAGTTGCGAATGTGTGATAGCTTTTTCCAGTTTAATTTGTTATTTTTGTTGCAACTGGTAGAAGTTGAATTTGGTCTTGCATTTTTATGGAGGAATATATTTCGTATTAATCTATGTTGTCAATTTTTTAAAATAAATTTTAATAACTATTTAGATAACATACAAACAACGAGTAAATGTCCCCTTGAAGAATAAAAATCCACATCCTGTTATATACTAAAATCGAGAAGGGCGTGTTGGTGTAGCGATGTTGCGGCGCGTACGTCCTCACTCCACGCGCATCCGTGGAAATCTTCTTCCCCACCATCAGTCCATCACGAATCTCAAACCACATCCAACGGCTAAAGAATTAAAAAGTTTTCTCCATTTTTCCTGTCAACAGTAATATAGCAATTTCATTCATGGATTTTACTGACATCGGTCTCCGTTTAATTTGGTTTTTTGAGATAAAGATTTACTATTATTGTCAGAATGCCTGGGCCAAACAATAATTGGCCCGGCTGGTATGTATGGACCAGCGGGGGGCCCAGTAGCGCCAGTTCTGGGCCTGCAAATCATGGACCAGCAGTAGGCTACTCAAAAGGCTTAATCACATGATTCAACTTAGACTGGGCCAAGAGAAATTGCAAAATCCAGATGGCCACAGGATTGTTAACCGCAAGCTATGTAGCAAGTCCACAGTTTCGACGAATTGAGCTAAACTAAAGTTAGACATAAACCATAATTCTCCAAACGTTTTGTCATATAATTGTTAAACTAAATTTTTTAAAGCATATATTTGGATTTGAACATTTTGACCACTCGTTGCTGGTTAAAAGCCTGTCGTGGCAACGATATTGCACAGTGCACACCCTTCGTGACGTGTCAAAACACTGTTGACCTTTCATGAGTAGTGATGGTACAGTGCCTGCCACTACTGTTAGTTGTTTGTGTTTTAAAAAAATTATTTGCTTTTCACGCGTGATCAATTTTTAGAAAATAAGCTATTACGGTTATATATGGTTTATTTTGAAATTTAAATAGAAAAATGTTCAGACGGTCTACTCCAACCTTCCTCAAAGCGACTATAGAGAAGGGAAGTCACGGAGTACCTACAACTATGTTTCCCAGTCCCGAACCATCAATAACCATGTGGTTACCACGTTTAACGTAGGTCGAGTAAAGAATACAATAGTAGGTTTGACAAAATTTCTTCAAAATATTTTTTTAAGGAAAAAAGAGAGAAAAATCCCAAAACATTACTAAAAGTAGTATATGATTTCTAATGATATCTCATGGCAATTCTTTTTTTAAAAAAAAGGCTAAGCTAAGTTCACATTTCGACATGACTACAAGGCGGCGTTACTTTAGAATTAAGAATTATATTGTATATGTTATAATATTTGTTGTTGTGGATATTATATTGTGATATTTTCTGGTTGTTGTCAAATGTGAGGTTGTGATTTTCTTTTTTCCTATATTTTTCTCTCTCTTTTTTTCATCTCAAAGACTAGGGTTACCACGCCTTACTGTGGCATACCACGCTGTAACTCGAGCAAATTGTGGTAACCATGACCCTTAAGATTTGAACATTTTGAATTCAAAATTTTGGAGATGAAATACATATGGTTTTTGGCATTTCCATGGTAACCGTCTTATCAAGGAGGTGGGAGGGGAACCTCCTTGTGGACAGTTTGGGAAGCCCTGCCTATGACTTGTTAATTCCTTGCTTCCTCTGTAGGGTGTAGGCACGAAACTGCGGTAGCAAAGACAAAGAAAGAAAACCTTTTTAATCACTCAAGGAGATGTCATCACATTTACTTAAATATCATCCAAATAATCATAAAAGATCTTCAAAAATTAATAATATCTATGCAACATATATATACTACTCCATAAAATCTCAAACTAAACTCACACATTGAGAGAGAAAAAATGCAGCGCTGTATGTTTCTTCTTCACCGTTCTTATCAATTTTGGACTTGATATTTGGTCCAGTGATTGATGTCACTGTAGTTTACATTGCCATTTTTTCCGGAGATTTTATATAACTATTTGAATTACATTTGAGAGAAAAAAATGTTATATAGGTACCATCTACTCAACGCACTCTCACTCCTCTTGCTCCAATTTCTCTCTCTTTCCTGCAAAAGCTCTAACTTATCCAGACTGGTAGGGATTAGAATTCATTCCCAGAAATAGCATCCTGTTCTTGACACAATTTCATACCGAGGCGTCCCGGATCTGGTTCTTTTTTGGCTTGCATACGGCTACGCGCATTCTACCAATTTAAAACTCGAGGTTTGACCGCGAATACTGTTCTTAATTCTACCACCAACAAATTACTACCAGCGACTATCTCCAATGTCCTAATGACTAAAATACTCAGGAATAGGCGAATAGCAATGCCGTTGCAAACTGGCAATCTGCTCATGCTATCTGATAGGAAAAGAAGAGCCCAAATTAAGAAAGCCTGGTGCCCCTAGTGCTTGACCAGAACTTGCGTTTCTAAATGACACATATGGATCATTGGATCCTTAAGATATTTCAATTGGCAATGAAAAATTGGGCATGACATGTCCTTGTTGTTATGATGAAAAATGGTTGGAAAAGTCATGATTCTGCACTGAACTATCATTTGCCAGTGGGCATCAGGAAATTTAGCGTTTGGTTATTAATTTTGTTTACACCTAAATTCGGCACCTATAAACGAAATAGGGAAAATTGCCAAAGTTTAAAAAGTGCCGGGTTTCCTTCATAGGGCCGGTTAGACCGTAAGTGTGTGGCCGGTCTGACCGGCTAGTAGGGCCGGTCTGACCGTAGGTATGTAGCCGGTTAGAGCGTTAGAGTCCGAGCTCAAGTTTGTTTTCGTCGGATCTCGGGTTTCCTTGCTTGGGAAGGCATGTTTCGGGTTTTCATTGGTCTCTATCCCGAGTTGGACGTGGAGGAGTGCCTGTAGAAGGCAAGACCGACCCCTATTTAAGGGACAATGCCTGTTCAATTGTAAAAAAAAACAACACATAATCAACTCGAATCGCTTTTTCAATATTCATTTACTTTTCAGCCATGTTTTCTACTTTACCCTAGTTTTAATCCACCTGTATTGATTTGCGTCATAAATCGTTCGTGGCCGCTGCGAGAGTGCGACACCTCTTTGTAGGTTTGTCCTGAAAACCTTCCGTTTTGCCTATGAGACGAGTAGTTATCCTCTTATCGATCTAAATCGGCCTAGAGACTGATTTTGATCTCTAAATCGGCTCCGCTAGCCGGTTTAGCCGTTTTCTATGAAACCCATCTTGATTTGGCCTTTTGGCTAGATCAAGATGATTGGTGACTCTATATTACCGTAAGGTGTTTAGGTGTTGTGATCGTGCTTGTTGACTTATAAAAAAAATGCCAACAAATTTATCGAACGACTCCATCTGAGTGCTGAACTTACGCAATAATCTTTTACTACTACTAATTACTAGTAGCAGCTAATGACCGCAACTAATCTATGTGTACTATTCTATCCCTAGCATCCTTTTGTTGACATTTTAGAAGAAGAAAGCGCAGTTGACCCTGATCCTTGACTTCACATGCATGTTGATCTCTATCAATAAAGAATTATACGCATTTTAAAATGCAACTGATACGTGGTGCTTTCGTTGAGGATACATTTTTCATACAAGGTTGGCTACTTGGCTCATATTCAAAACGGCCAGGCTGACTTAAAGGTGCACTAGTTTCATTATCTTTCATTATCTTTACGGTGCTCTCTCGCAGTATTACTACTACCATTATTATCCTAAGTAGAAGTGATATTAACCGTTAATCTATAAATTCTACTATTAGTAAAAAAATCTATTACCACTTTACCAATAGTAGTTGATGTGATATTATAAATAGATTTGATCCATTGGATTAAGAAAGGAAAAAGTACGAAATACCCCCCGAACTATCGCGGTCGTCCGAATTACCCCCTAAACCACAAAACCGGACATTCTTCACCCTCAACTATGCAAACCGGACGAATTACCCCCCTCGACCAAATCCGCGGTGGTTTTGGTCTACGTGGTGTACACGTGACAGTCCAGTCAGTATTCTATTTATTAAAAAAAATGTGGGACCCATCTGTCATACTCCTCTTCCATTCTTCCTCTCTCTCTCTCTTCTCTCTCACTCTCGATGATCCCGTCGAGGTTGTCGTTGAGATCAATGGCGGTGGTAGCGCCGCCGTTGCGTGAGCAGCACGAGGACAACACAAACGATCTCCATAATGACGACCACCGCCTGGAGCCTCCTCTGCAGGTCGCCGTGCTTGGCAACGTTGGCGAGCAGCGCCACCGACGTGGTGATCGACGAGCCGATGGCCACGATGGCCTCCTCGTCGAGCGGCATGACGAGCACCAGCACCGCCAGGACGTTGTTGAGCAGGACCGACGACGCCGACGAGTCACTCGACTCACTCGCCGCGGCGAACGACAAATGCAACAAACAACTCTTGCATCTGAAATCAACAGGATTGGTGAACGTCTGAATGACAAAGTTAAATCAGTACACAAAACTCAGTACAAAGTTAAATCAGTACACAATACGGACGCTCTCTGGCCACCACAGGTGGTGGCTGCCGTCGCTTCCATCCAGTGTATTCTAGTCGAACACGAACATCTCACCGTCGCCAGGAGAGGACACGCCGCCGCCGGCGATGCTTTCAGCTCCTCCCTGTCCACCGGGCTTGCTGTCTCCGGTGCCGGAGACGAGCAATATTGCGGCGCAGGGAGGGGTGATGCGGGAAGGCGGCGAGGAGGGAGGTTGTTGGCGACGCACCATGCCTGGATGACGCGGCGGAGGGCATGGTTGGGGACAAGGTCGTCGGTGCGAAGGTCACCTTTGGTAACTGGGCACGTCGACGATGCCGTCTCCGCCGTCTTCCCCGCTCCGGCCTCGATGCCGGCCTAGGCTTCATGCGCGTATGCGTTGGGAGAGAGAGAGAGAAAGAGAGGCCTCATGCGCGTGCGGGCACGCCGTCGGGCGTTGGGAGAGAGAGATCGAGGCCTCTTGCCGACCTAGGTTTCATGCGCGTGCGTGCCGTCGGGCCGCTGGCGCCGGAGCCCGACGCTCTGGCAACCGCGTCGGCGAGACCGCCGTAGCCGCAGGGGGCGGCTGCTCGTCGTGGCCACAGCCGCCGCCGCCTCCGCGTAACCCTCGCCGCCGCCGCTCCGTGTTCCCCGCCTGTAGCCGCAGAGAGGAAGAGTGAGAGAGAGAGGAAGAATGGAAGAGGAGTATGACAGGTGGGTCCTATATTTTTTAACAAATAGAATACTGACTGTACTGCCACGTGTACGCTACGTAGATCAAAACCACCGTGAATTTAGTCAAGGGGGGTAATTCGTCCGGTTTGCATAGTTATGGGTGAAAAATATCAGGTTTTGTGGTTTAGGGGGATAATTCGGACGACCGCGATAGTTCAGGGAGGGTAATTCGTACTTTTTCCATTAAGAAAATATAACAGTCACGCATGGTAAACCAACTATCTTCAATAAGTGTGAGCATCCACGCAATTGCAAACACCAATTTGCCCTTAGATCATAAATAATTTGTCAATTTCATGACAAGGACTTAAACTATATAAAAATAATAAACTACTATTCTGTCCCATGAAAAACCAACTTTTATATACGAATTTAAACATAGTTGGGTTTTTTTTATGGAGGAAGCATGTATGTATAGAAAAACCACAAGTGCAAATTTATGTTCCATTATATGCTTATATCTCATTCTATAATTGCAGCAGAAAGTGCTATTTGTCCAGACATATTTCTATATTTCATACTAACAACGTTTATGTACTTTTTTTTGGTGTATGCGTGATAGAGAGGGAGGAATATAAGATGAGCTATAAGCATCATATTAGTTGGCTGCTGGTGTTAGATCAGTGGACATCGATCAGGGCCCATAACTTGATATCTCTTTCTTAAAGGAAAACGGTAGAGCTGATGTGGATATCTTAAAGATGTCAACGTGTGATGCAAGTATGCAATCTCCACACTCATAAAAAAGAAAAGAAAACTACAAGTGCACTGGTTGCTACACCAAACATGCTGCCAAAAATTGGAGAACAGCACTGCTAGCTGTAGGAGAAAAATGACTACCAAGACATTTGGTTTTCCAGGCTAGCTTGTCATTTGGAATGCTTATTTAAAATGAGGCTTGTCATTCCTTTTAGTGTGTTTGAGCGGTGGGAGAAAAAGATTGAGAAGATGTGTAGAACAAGGTGAACTATTAGCATAGCATATGATGAATTGCATATTAATTATTTCAAACTTAAAAAATTGATTAATATGATTTTTAAGAGCAATTTTCTTATAGAACCTTAAAAAACAAATAGTTTAGCAGTTTCAGGAAATGTGCGTGGAAAAAAACGAGAATGTTACGTTCTTCGTGTCGTTCAAACGATCATATCCTTAGACCACATTTGGTTGGATTAGGCTAATCCTTTGTTTGTCATGAGTCCTCTTTTTTAAATTTCTAAATGGTATGTTTGGTGCAAACACTTTTCACATATAATTATCTTAAAAAATTAAATATATATTTCAAATTTGCTGTAGTTATTATTTATTTAATCATACGTTAATGATTAACTAGCTAAGTCTAATGGCTATATCATTGATGTGGGTTTTAAGTGAGATGACCGTAGGTTTTTCAGCCGTGTAATGTGACGGTGATTTATTTGCACATGGTTCTAGTTTGATTCTAGTTTCTAGGGATGGCAACGGGTCGGGTCGGGCACGGGTAGAGCAAAACCATGCCCGACCCCATGCCCGTCGTCGCCCGCCCAAACCCTACCCACTAGTGTTAGCGGGCAAAACTCTGTGCCCATACCCATGCCCGACGGGCACGGGTATACTCGGCGGGTACCCAATGGATCTCACATGAATAATAACTCGAAAGATATATAATTTAACAAAGAGAAATAAAATCAACAATTTACCAAATTATGAGTTATCAACAATAATTTGAATTACATCACAACCTATTATTAGTTAGTATCACAAATGAACCATGAGAAAGGGTATAAGAATTAAGAGATAAGTCGAAATTAGCTAATACATATGTATCGGGTCGGGCATGGGTTACCCACAAGTAAAAAATGAAACCCGGTTGTTGCCCATGATGCCTACGGGTCTCGGACGGGCGTACCCACGAGTAAAAAATCACACCCACGCTCGTGCCCATTGGGTCGGGTATCCGCTACCCGAACCCATGGGCAAAATTGCCATTCCTACTAGTCCCAATCCATTTTTCCGTGTGCTTCAAACATCCAACATCTAGGATTAATAAGCGCCCTTTAAACAAAGAAATTAAAGCCAAAACTAAAGCGAAAGCGCGTCGCTTTGCTTTGTCATGTCGGGAAACTCGGCTCCGGTTCCATCCTTGACCCTGACGACTTTTGAAACGATGGTGGACCAGTTCCCACCAAAGACGAGGCCCCGATTCCGCAAGGCGCCGGCAACTCAACCCCAGCCAGATCTCTCTCATTCTCTCCCGCTTGGCTAATCGAGAAAGCGACGCACCGACGCCGCACTACCCACAGCACAAACCAAACGTTTCCTTCTCCTGCATGGCAAGTCGCTGATCACAACTACGCATCGCCATGTGTCCCCCGTCCCCGATCAGCCTGCGACTTCCGCTGCGGGCCGCACGCGCGGGAGGAGGCGGCGTACGAGCCGAGGGCGAGGAAAACGCGGCACGCGGGCGCGGGCGCACGCGCATGCGCTTGGCTCGAGCTGGGAAAAAAAGCTTTGGGCCGCTCCGACCGCCACGGCGTCCGTCCGTGCTCGCGGCTCGCGGCGTACGTAGTCAAAGCCAGCGTGCGTGGGTGCGTGACTGCGTATAGGGGCCACGACCCGCTGCGGCCGCGCCCATCCCGCCAGTTCAGTCACCAACCCACCAAACCCCACCGCGACCGCGACTCCGACGTCTCCGCCACGGGCCAAAGTCGAAAAATCGAGGGGACTTTCCCATCTCCATCCCGCGGCGGGCGCACGGGTTGGTCGGTTGGTCCGTCCGTGGCGTGGACTCGAAGCCGCCTCGTCTTCCTCCTCCTCCTCCTCCCCCCTCCGGCAGTGGCCCAGGAGGGCGCCCGCGGCTACTGCTGCTTCCGCTCAAAGCTTCAAGTTCCCGTGCGCTTCTGCTTCCCCACTACCTCCCGCTGGTCTCGGTGCCCACTGCGCAGCGCGGTGCTTCATCTCCCTCTCGCTCCGGGGCTGGCTGCAGCCACAAGCTAGCGGCAGCGGAGGACTCGCTTCCGACGAGCTCGGTGTGGTGTGGAGGTGGTGTCTGGCTTGGCTGGTTGGTTTGCTGGTGAGTGGCTCGGGCATTGAGGCTATTTCTCTGTTCGAATTGCATTGCGGAGGTGGGGGAGCGGGGATGGTGGCCGGCTCGGTTCTCGAATCGGCTGCCGCCTGGGTTGACAAGATTTTGGAGCGGAATTTGGGGGCGGTTGCTTTTTGCTTGTAAGATTGCTGGTGTTTCTTCGTCGTCCCTGATCTCGCTTGTGTGGTTTCCCGCTCCAGATTCGTTGGAGGATGGGGGGGTTTCGGTGCGGTGATCTGCGCATTGATGTGGAGTTAGTGGATGAGTGGCGTCATTTTCCGCCATCTCAAAAGAGGGTTGTCGGTGGGAGTTCGTGTGATGCCGTGATGGGGCGTTGACGCTAGATTCGCGGCTCCAATTTCGTGAAACTTTCGCGGAATTCGAGTTTTTTTTCGTATTTAGCTGTGTTTTTCTTTCCTTTATTTTTTCTAAACCTTTTTCGTGATCTCTCTAGCGTTGTGGCTGGATTTACCGTTGCTTAATTCTGACCGCGTGATTAGTGGATGGAACTGTTTCCTCCACTTGGGAAGACCTTGCAATTGGAGCTCGGCTCCTTTACGGTTTCCTGATGATTTCCCCGGATAACAGTGATGTAATTATGTTGTCTTCTTCTTTTGCTATACTCTTTTGCTGTGATTTCGCCCTCACTTTCTCTATTTCAAGAAATTAGCTTCGCTGATTGGTGCACTGCTAAACTCGGTTTTCCCTTTTAGATAAGGAAATGGTTTATATCTCCAGCCTCTGCCATGCTAAACTTGGTTTACTCGTTTACTTGCTAGGTTGATTTGACAATAGTTACTTGGTTCGGTAGGAGCTTCTAATTTCTGAATATGGGGCATTGAATTGGACACACATATGCCACATCATAGCAATTCCAAGGCATGATGCGGTTTTGGTGCTTGTTATCTTGTAGTAATACCAAGAGAGTTCCTGTGGTTGGAAGAGTCTGTAGCCAACGATTCTGTTTGTGTATCATTTAGGACTGGCTATGATATAAGCACGACTTGTAGAATAGCACCATGGATGTGTATAAACATTACCTTTACCTTGTAGTAGAGTGTACCATGTGCACCATTAATGCAATCAACATCAAACATTTCATTCGCTAATTACCATTAATGGGCATGCTTCTTCTTGTTTGACAGGACGTAAAGCACATTCCTATTTGGGTTGCGTTGCTTCTTTAGGTCAGAGGACACTCCAAACTGCCGCAAAGTTTCACTGATACAGCTCTTTGTCTTCATAAAGGGATTATCATACACCTTAACACTTTAATAGATCAGGATGACAGTTGAGCTGGAATTGATTTAACTTGCTTGCTTGGATGGTTTGTGTTCTGAATTTGGAATTTCATGGTTATGGATACTTTAGGATGAACACATATTGATTTTAGACATCAGACCAACTTGCTAAAACAGTTCTGAGTGATGAAGAAATGGCACGGTGGTTTTGTCATAGTATCTTTGTTCATTATATTGATGCTAAGATATGTTATATTGGATAGTCCACTTGCTGAAAAATCTCTTCAGTATGTCTTCCAACAGAATAACACAACCCCACTACATTGGCTGGATGTTCCAAACCCGCCTGCAGTTCAGAATCCACAGAACATCTCTCAAGTAATATCAACTGAATTGTTAGCTTCAAACCTTTCCATAACAAGAAATTTCTCCGATAGAGAACTGCAGTCATTGCATTCTTGGAATCATTTAAAAGACCTAGTAAGTCATGCGCACATCTTACCAGATGGAGTAGAAGCAATCAAGGAAGCTGGAGTAGCATGGAGGGAGCTAAATGCAGCCCTTGAATACGATGAATCTGCTGTTTCTGTCAATGGTAGCACTCATCAAAAAAGTAAAGAGAAGCAATGCCCATATTCCATTCGAAGAATGAATGCTACAAGATCAGGTGATAGATTTGTCTTAAAGATTCCTTGTGGACTGATTCAGGGCTCTTCAATAACTATTATCGGTACTCCTGGTGGTCTTCTTGGTAGTTTTAAGATAGAATTAACTGGGGCTACTGTACCTGGTGAACCAGACCCTCCAATTGTGCTTCATTACAATGTCCGTCTTCTTGGTGATAAACTTACAGAAGATCCTGTAATAGTCCAAAATACATGGACTATAGCTGACGACTGGGGTTCTGAAGATCGTTGCCCATCTCCTGGTTCAGATGCTAAGGACATTGCAAAAGGTACATTTGTTTCAGTTGCCTGTCTCTTCCTATGGACATGATATCCATCGATTGTATCATATGATCTTGCCCTACAATTGGATACATAAAATACCTTGATAAAGTACCGTACCTAGTTTTTATGATTGCCTACATGGTAAAAAGTATGCCCTCTTCATGTATTGTACCTGCAAACATTATTTGTGTGAAGCTTTTGATATTGCTATATAATTCTATTTTTCATCACTTTTAGCCCTTAAGATTTGTTCAAAAAAATCGATTGGTGTCTTGGCAAATAGTTCATTCGCCTCTTGATCTTGAGCTTGACATAGATACATCGTGTTCTATTGTTTTACAGTGGATGAGTTAGAAAAATGCGGTAGCATGGTGGGCAATGATCAAAAACAAGCATGGGCCACTAAGTTAAAGTCCAATGTTTCAAGCATACAACCTGCCTGGAAAAAGAACACAGAACCTAAGAAATATTTTCCCTTCAGACAAGGATATCTTGCTATAGCAATTCTTCGTGTTGGAGCACATGGGATCCATATGACTGTAGATGGGAAACATGTCACTTCATTTGCCTTTCGGGAGGTGAGTCTTTTTTAGGCAATCTAGTATGTTTTATATCTTGAAATATTTTGTAGGCATTTTTTTCTGAGTGTGCAAAAATATTTGTTCTTCCATAGTTCATACACACAAAGAATTGAAACTCATTTTATTCTCCTCAGCTCTCTTATGTCAAAATATGTTTGGATTGCTATTTTTCTTACTAATGTATTCTTTTACCAGGATTTGGAGCCTGGATTTGTTGGTGAAGTAAGAATTGCAGGAGATATTAAATTGTTGTCTGTGATAGCAAGTGGTTTGCCTACAACAGAGGACTTTGAACATGTGACTGACTTAGAAATTTTGAAGGCTCCACCAGTTCCCATGGACAAACCCCTGGATCTTTTTATTGGGATCTTTTCTACAGCTAACAATTTCAAGCGCAGAATGGCAGTTCGCAGAACTTGGATGCAGTATGATGCTGTCCGCTCAGGAAAGGCTGCAGTTCGATTCTTTGTTGGCCTGGTAAGCATGAAACTATGACAGAATAGCATATTATAGGGTGATTCACTGGTTTATACCTGAAAGCATTGGCTGATTTTAACTTTCTATGGTTATATGCCTAGAGGCTGATGTGTTGGAATATAATTACCACCTATAACCTATTTTAGCATATCATGCCCTGTGTTGATTGTACTCCCCACATGTAAATATTTAGTTGCTCGTTAATTTCACTCTAAATTTGTGTATTGCTACCTATCAGTAGAATGTACCGATGTATCATGACTATTGTCTCGAACAATACTGTAAAAAAAATTCATTTTTACTCTTATTGTTCCCTTTTTTTGCCGGCACCAGTTGTGCTAGTTTGAATTAGGGTACCCTTCTTCAGAGTTAACACATCTACCCCTTTTCCTGCCATTGTTAAAAGCATAAAAATGAGGTGGTGAATGAGGAACTTTGGAATGAAGCACGAACATATGGAGACATCCAATTGATGCCCTTTGTTGATTATTATAGCCTGATTCTATGGAAGACTATAGCCATCTGCATCTATGGGGTATGTAGTTACTTTTTTTTTGTATGTATTTTTTGAAATATTTTGCATCTAATTCAGCTTAAATTTTTCCTCTTAGACAAACGTCTTGTCAGCCAAGTATGTGATGAAAACAGATGATGATGCTTTTGTCCGTGTGGATGAGATACTTTTATCTTTAGATCGCGTGAACATCAGTCATGGGTTACTGTACGGTCGTGTCAATTCTGATTCTCAGCCTCATCGAGACCCATATAGCAAGTGGTACATAACCCCAGAGGTAGTTGATTTAATCCTAATTTGACATTTAAGTTATTGTGTGCACCATCATTTTGAAACATGTAGAAATCTTCTGTTTGACCATTGTATATTGCTAATATTATGACATAGTAGATGCCTAGGAACTGATTTGTTAGTAATTGGGCACATTCAACAGGCTTAGCGATAAATCCTTTACCATTTTTATTTTGCGATGAAATAACTCTACTACTCTACTTATATAGGAATGGCCTGAGGAGAGTTATCCTCCATGGGCACATGGTCCGGGATACATTGTATCACAAGACATAGCAAAAGAAGTTTACAGGAAACACAAGAGAGGAGAACTTAAGGTAATACCAGATTTCCCTAAAATTTCTTCTCACTGCTGATATGCAGCAGTTGCACGCAGTTACTGTGGTTTCCGCTAATGGCACAGCCATAATGGAATATTCTAAGCTTACTAGTGCTGGTTTCTGTTTATATGCTCTTGGCATCCTCAAATTTGATTCCTACTATCCGGACGTTGTATTGCAGATGTTCAAACTAGAAGATGTCGCAATGGGAATATGGATCAATGAGATGAAGAAGGATGGGTTGGATGTAAAGTATGAAAATGATGGGAGGATTTTGGTCGAAGGCTGTGAGGAAGGATATGTGGTTGCACATTACCAGGAGCCAAGGGACATGATGTGCCTATGGGACAAATTTCTGAAAACAAAACGAGGAACATGTTGCAAGGAGTAACGGGGGAGTAACAGGACTAATCCGACCATATATTTTGATGGCTACTGTATAGCCATGGCCTGCTGACACCAACGACAAGCTCGGCACAACGCCACAACCCCATGCAAGAGGAGCAGGCAACAAAGTTTTAACCTTGCTTATTTTTGGTGGTTGCAGAATCAATAGGCAACGAAGTTTTGAATATCATTCACAGTCATTTTTGTCCGCGGGGAAAGAGATTGAAGTCTCACCACCATATTTTGTAGAAGATGTAGGTTTCCTATTTGGGCATATAGGTAGGGAGGTGTTGCTTAGTTGCTTGCAGTGTGGCTTCTTGTAACATATCTTTCTAGAAAAACGTAGGATACACCGGCAATTACACTTTTAGGGTAGATGCAGAGGCAGTATTACCATTCTTTTCCTAGGAATGCATCCTGTATCTGATGTAAAGCTATTTGACAACTACTCATTGTACAATCCACTTCCTATCCACGGCATACCTGAACTTTTTCTTTGTCACGTTGCCTGTGCAAATCTTCTCTGTGCTGTTCTCTGAAGGCATTTGATGTAGCAATCACACTTTATAATTCTATATCCAAGTCTTGCAGATGATGAAAATACATGGAACATACAAGAATAAGGAGGCATTTGTCTTTTTAACTTTGTTCTAGGTCAAACATTTTTAACTTTGAGCATCATTTTTTATGAAATTCATAAAGTTTAATAACATGTGAACTTTATACATTTCTCATGGTGAATCTTAAAAAGATCTTATCATATTGAACCATATAAATTTCTAGACATTGATGGTCAGAAACTCAGAATTAAGAATATTTGACTGAGGAGATGCACATACCAGATATCAGATATGCACACGGCAATCAAATTACATCCGGCTGCTGCACACGGTTATTTTCTCTCCCTTTTTTTAAGATAATGGATAGTCCGGCATTTGCTTCAAAAGAAGCTACAACTACTTGTTACAACATCCATAACTGAATCAAAAGCAAATGGCAATCTTAGATGCACACGGTTATAAATAAGAAAGGAAAACCTAATGCTGATGGAATGATGGATAGACAGACGGATTAAATACTATTAAAAGGCTACGGCACACTGGTGATATTTTTGTTTAGGGTTCACGTGCGGCGGCTATGCAGCCAACGCCATGGCGCGCGTTGGGGGAGCACGAGAAAGAGGATGACGCACATCGGACCAACCACGAGTGGTTAGTTACAATTCATCCCCTTCCGGTGACCACTGAATAAAAGGTAGTTGAAGACATAGGTGTTGGGGAGCCTTTTCTCTATATAGGTTCTTTTATCGAAACCTCCGTCCTACCCCCCACCTCGCACACCACCATCTTTTAACCTCATGACTTTGGCGGTGCCACTGCCATCTTGTTGCTCACTACTGATTCGAAAGGGCTATCGTGTGAATGTTCACATGACTAAGGCGCGTGAACACCTACACTTTTCTTTTCTGCATCACGTGGTTTTCATTTTTTAGTAGGTTTATACACTCAAAGCAGCTTATATGTCTAATTCGGATTCAAGTATTTTTTTATATTAAAGTTTCTCTATATATGTACAAACTTTTCTAAAATAGTTTTTTTTTAGTCTTGGGCTAGGCACATCTGAACCGGAGTGAAAATGTTTGCGTGCTTGGCTAGTGAATATTCGACCATTTACCATTAGACCATTGCACGGTCCAACACTTCCCCATATATCTCTATGGGAATCCCCCACCTCCCCTCTCCAACCAAGGGACCCGATCACTCGAACCCCGAACCTTATAGGAAAAAGCTCTATTAGAGTTTCTAGACGAGGCAATATTATCTCTCATTGGGATGGAAATAAATTGCTCCCCTATTGAGTGAAGCGGGAACATGGGTGTTCCCCTATCCAAACGTCTCCATGTACTTGTGGAGCCTTGAGTAAGCATACATGTGCACATTCATTTGTTCTATATAGTCCACAACTTCACATAAAAAAATCCCACCTACGTTGAACTGTCTTGTAACTAAAACCCTAAATCACAATTTCACACGGTAGAGAGAGATGATTCCAAGTTGCACCGCCATCGTCACCTACATGTCGCACCACTATTACCACCCGACGCCTCGTCGGGTTTGCGGTGTGAGGTCGCATCATCCCTAACACATCCATGTCATGTGCTTGTGTCGTGCCGCCATCACCACCTAAACCCTGTGCTAAATATGGTGACTAGTGATAGGTGAGATCTTCTGTAGTAGGCACCCCCTTCTGCTCTCTTTCTTTCCTAGCTGCTACTACATCGGCACGTGACGAAGGCATCCTAGGCAACCACTGATGAGAGCTGGTCATGGGTTGGTATTAACCGCAGATCGAGTTGTTGTTTCTTTAGGGCATGTTTTGCATGACTCTAGCTCCCAGATCCAATTTTTCTAGAGCTAGAGATGATCCAAACGATCTAGATCTAAATAAAACTGGAGTGGAGTGGGCTGAAGTCTTCCCAAAAAATAAACTAAAGGGTGGAGCTAGGTTATGATCGCTCCACTGCTTCACTTCCAACCGAATGACAATGCTAGTATGCTACCCTTCTTTTCTCATCGAATTTACGGGGAAAATGCCATCGCGACCCTTCCAACCACTAACAAGATTTCAGAATTTGCCACCGATTACGCATTGTTTTTAGGGTTTGCCACCCAATCCATGCTATTTTCAGAATTTACCATCGGGATGCGAATTTTCTTTGTTCCGTGCCACTCTATCCACAATCGTTAGTCATGACGTCAGTGTCCGTCTGCCTGGCGACACCGCCGTCCATCCGCCATCGCCCACGTTAGCCGCGCCATCGTCCATCTGTCGGCGCCACCATCGTCGTTGTCCGTCATCAGCCATGCTGTAGTCCGTGAGCCATCGTCTCCTATCATGTTGACCCACATGATGACAATGATAACAAATGAAAACATCAACTTAATGCAAGAGCTCACCGCCCAAGATTGTTGCTTCGTTCCTTGGGGACTGGTGCTATGAGGAGCAGAAGTACGGGGACAACGCTGGGATTGACGGGGTGTCGTCGCCGATGACGTTGAGGCGGTACTACAAGGAGCAGGGCAATGTCATGCCTGGCGAGGACTTCCTCGAGCTCGACGTAGTGGTAGAACTGGAGTAGCGGTGGCGTCGTGGGACATCTTCGCAACGACGCCTCCATCATGGTATTGCTATCGGCCCCGCGCTTTGCATCGAGTTTAGCCTGGAGTTCTCCGAGCCTCGGCGAACGGATGGCCAACGACACGACGGATGGCAAACGACAATGATGGCTTGGCCAACGATGCAACATATTCAGTGACAAATTCTAAATGTTCTCTACCATACCACCATCGAGATAATTAACTATTTACTGCTATAAATGTGGTGTTTCAAAATTTATTATACACATGGAGGACTCCGTATGTTATAGACATACAAATAACGAATGGTTAACCATTACGTTGTTTGGTTCGGTAAAATTCAGCCCGCACCCGATTCCAGCGCAAACAGATCCAGTTCCCGTTGTTTGTTTGAGACGCTCCGTAATTGGATACCATGGAACCCATTACGGGCCCAGTTCAGAGGCGATACCGCTTGATCAGGAGCGATAAGCGTTAACGATACGGAGAGGCAACACGAGAAAGAATCAAGCGTCGCCTCCGCCTCTCCCCTCGACCCACGTGTGAGAACCAAACAAAATCTAAGTTTACCGTAATCTGATTACAATCACAGTGCTATCTGATGTCCTTACCGTTTACGTTTGCAATCTCCAACCAAACAGCACCTAAAAGTGGTAAATTCTCCTCTCCTGCCCGTGACCCCACGAGGGTGGGTCCCACCTGTCAGTGACCCCCCGCCCCCCCACATTTCCTCTCCCTTTTACGTCCCGCGTGAACCCGTCCTGTCCTCCTCCCCTCTACCGCGCGAGTCCGACTCCTTTCTCGAGGGCGTTGGCACTTAGCAGGCGGCGGCTGCTGCTGCGGCGGCGCAGGGCGGCGGCGGTGCAGAGCGGCGGCGCACGGCTGAGGCGGCGGCGTAGTCGGCGCTCTCCTTCCCTGCTTCTTCCCTCCTTTTTCCTCCCAACCCCGACTCCCGGCGACCGAGGGCTGCAGCTGAGGGCGGCGCGCGGAGGCGGAGGCGGCGGGCGCACGGCTGCGGAGGCTGCTGAGGACGAGCGCGACAACGGAGGCTGCGCGCGGCGGAGGCTGACGGCGGTGAAAGGTTGGTTTTCCCGAATCCCTAATGTATAGTGTGTATATATATTTTACAGAAACCAAACCCTAAATATTCCCTCATATGTTGAGTTCTATTCCGGTTCATTTATGTACGGATGATTGTATATTTTGGTTGATTGCTTGGTATTAAGCAATGGAAACTTGGGTAACTTTCAGATCTGAAATTTACCCCTTAGGTGTGTCAAATTTCAGATTTAAGCACTAGGGACGTTGAGCATTTTGTTTCACTGGCCAAGTCCGATGTCCATAATTTCAGTTCGCATTTTAGAAGTCATTGAGAAATTCCAGATTTAAGCACTGCGACCATGAGCTATTTTAGTTTGCATTTGAGGAGCCGTTGAGCAATCTGTATCATCTGAGAACTAGTGCCTATCTCTAGTAATTTTTTTCATGAATTTAGAGAACTTTTAGGTCCGGTTTTCATGGGTTTTCACTTATTTGTTGGTTTTCATGGGATATTTCCCCTATTTAGAATGTATCATCTATTTTAGCCATGTAGAGAACATGCCAAATTGCATTGAGTCTTATCTCAGTTGTTCAACCTATGATTTATGTTAGTATTGAGAAAAGATTTGTGTGAGTGAGTGGATTAAAGGCATGGATCAAAATGTGCCATCAAAGGGTGTTAAAATGCCCATGGCCTCAGCTTATTGGAATGACTACAACACAAGAGTTGTGTGAGATTTTTGGTGATCAAGTAGTTGCGGCTGATTGTTCAAATACCCATTTATCCAATCCTTGGTACGGCCAAGTCATTGAGCAATTTGCCGCAAGAACATGTTTTGAGGACTAGGTTTCAAATTAAGAACAAATGGGATAAACTTAGGACTTAATACAACAGTTGGAAGTAGTTGAAATCACAAATAGGTTTGGGATGGGATGACACAAAGCAGACAGTCAAGGCTACTGCAGAACTATCATTGAGAGAGATCCTTCGGTGTATGGAAGATGAAGTGGCGGGTTCTCCTCAAGATGCTTAGCTTTCCAATGTGGAAACAAAAGATAGTTGTGGCGGCAACAATGGCATTGCACAATTTCTGGATCTAGGGTTTGTTATGCACAACATTGCATTGTAGCTGCTTTAAAGCCTTCTTTCCTATGGTGTGAATTTAAAGAAAGTAGTATGATGTTGTCATGATACTTGATGTTATGTGGTCATTAAGTTTTGTGAAAGGTGGTGGCTTTAGGCCTATTGAGATCCAGAGCGGTGGTTGAAGAGGTGTGGAGTAACAGGATCTCAGTAACCTTTGTGTGTATGAGGGTATCAGAGGCATTAGTTTACTAGCTGTCTCCAATTGCGCCTCCATCTCTCTGTTTTTTTCTTCTTACTAGAAAAAATACCTGTGCGTTGCAACGGGTGAAGGTTCTTTTAATTATTATTATACGGTTTAGCTAAGGTGAACGACCTTAAAAACGAACGACCTTAAAAACCGACTCAAACACATATATGTATTTCCAAAAGCGAGTGAATTTAAAAACCGACTCAAACATGGATGACGTACCAAAATGCCGGGAAAAACATCTTCAATTTTTATAATAGTAGAGATATAAATAATGTGCAAAAAGCAATGATGCCGAGATTTGTTACGTTACCTATTAACATGTTCCATTCTAATTGATTATTACAGCAAACATATAATGTTGGTTCATTGAACCAACTTCTTAGGCAAAACAACTCATAGGTACATGAAGAGTCCGATAGGATGACACTCTATTCATTAATTACTGAGGTGAATGTGTATATGCTACATCAAATTGATTTGAATATAACTTGTATGTAGATCCCACACAATGAAAAGATGTTGGTTCCATGGCCATTTCCCCATAATTACACAACCTTGTATGCTTAGTATGATGGAGTATTATTTAAACTGTGTTTTGAACCATCAATAAGAAATGTCCATGCAAAGCTTGATTTATAAGATAGGCTACTGTTTTTTAGAGCACTGGTACATGTAGTAAACAATTCTACTAAACTCCTACAAACAAAATTCTCAACTGTTTGATTTAACTAGATGTGAGTTACAGGAGATCTAGATTTACTCACAGCATGCCACATCATTGTTTGTAAGAGTTTTGTAAGATAAAATTTGGATGTATAGCCTTTTCCTTTTTTATTTTGTGCTGCTAATAATCCTTTTTTGTGTTTTATTTGCTACAGGCACATGCTCATTTATCTAGACTGTATCTTGGTTATAACCCCTTCCTCAAAGCATTTATCCAGGACTTCCCTAAGCTTATCAAGACTGATCTATCTGTTCCTACAGAGGAGGTCCATTTGCAGCTATCATTTGTATGGATAAGACAACTACTTCTGATCTTGTTTTGGACAACGACAACATTGGGAGTAATGCTGGTTCTGCACAGGAGCCTCTTACTACCAATGGTAAGACTAGTGGGGTCAGAAATAGATACAAACAAACTGTTAAAAGGGGAAGGAAAGGCTCCCAAATATCACCAAGTAAAACATATCCCCTGAGATCTTCACATAGTAATGTCAGGGTGCTTCGCTCTGCCTCAAAAAAGAAGAATGAGACACCTATTGTGCCCACAAATGATAATACTGCTGTTCAACGAGTTGCGAAGAAAAGGAAAAGAAGCAAACCCTTGAGACCTGCACCTAGCAGGGTGCTTCGCTCTACCTCGGAAAAGAAGAATAAGGCACATAATGAGCTTCTAAATGATGGTGCTGGTGTTCAACCAGCCGAAAAGAAAAGAAAGGTAGGCAGACCCCCAAAAGGAGGAACTCCCAAGGACGATTACCTCATGATCCGAAAGCGAGTTAGATATGTTTTGAATCGAATGAACTATGAACAAAGTTTAATTCAAGCCTATGCCAGTGAAGGTTGGAAAGGTCAAAGGTTTGTGATCGTTAAACAATTAATTTTTCTTCACATACTCTTACCATTTTTTATCATATTGGTTAACTGCAGCCATCTTCTTACACTGGTTTTTAATCCTATAAATATTTAGCTTGGAAAAAATAAGACCTGAGAAGGAGCTTGAACGAGCCAAGGTGGAAATTCTGCGATGCAAGTCAAGAATACGGGAAGCTTTTCGGAATTTGGATTCCCTCCTATCTGAGGGAAAGCTGGATGAATCTATGTTTGATTCTGCTGGAGAAATATCTAGTGAAGATGTAAGCCATCCCATTTTGTTCTTGAAATCTCCTCACTTCATGTATTGTCACCTTAATTCAGATTCATCTTGGTTGCAGATTTTCTGTGCTGCATGTGGTTCAAAGGATGTTACATTAAAAAATGACATAATTCTTTGTGATGGAATCTGCGACAGAGGGTTCCACCAGTATTGTTTAAACCCTCCTTTGCTTGCTGAAGATAGTAATACCCATTACATTTTCCTTTATATATTGAAAGCTTTATTAGCTTGTGTTGTTATTTACCTGATCAAATGTGTTTTTTTAGTTCCACAGGGGGATGAAGGATGGCTTTGCCCTGCATGTGATTGCAAAATTGACTGCATAGATGTATTAAATGAACTCCAAGGGGTCAAACTCTCTATCCATGACTCTTGGGAGGTAAAACCTATAAACTATCCTGTTAGTAGTAATGCACTATCAATCTTATGTTGTCTTCAACATAAATGAGAGCACATAACTTCATCTATTCTTTGCAGAAAGTTTTTCCTGAGGCAGCATCCTTTTTGAATGGTTCTAAGCAAATTGATGCGTCCGATCTTCCATCAGATGATTCAGCAGACAATGATTATGACCCTACTTTGGCTCAAGGGCACAAGGTGGATGAAGAAAAATCTTCTGGAGAAGATGGTGGTGAAGGATTAGATTCTGATGACTCATCTTCTGAGGATTCTGAATCTTCTGAGAAGGAAAAGTCTAAAACTTCACAGAATGGAAGGACAGTTGATGATCTTGGTTTGCCTTCTGAGGATTCAGAGGATGGTGACTTTGATCCAGCAGGTCCAGATTCCGACAAAGAACAAAATGATGAATCAAACTCAGATCAGTCAGATGAATCAGATTTTACATCTGACTCTGATGATTTTTGTGCTGAGATTGCTAAATCCTGTGGTCAGGATGAAATCTCAGGCCCTTCATCATCACAAATCAGAACAGTCGATCGCACCGATGGAAGTGGTTTTGATGGTGAGCCTAATGCAGAAAATTCGAATCTTGCATTTATGGAGACAGAGCTAGAGCAAGACATGGTGCTACCAATTTCTAGTAAACGACAAGTTGAACGTTTGGATTACAAAAAACTGTATAATGTATGTATCCTCATCCTGTTTCTTCTATACTGTGAATTGGTTTTCTCTTACCAATGTTTGATTAGTTACTACTTTCAAATCTTTCTTTCTGCTGTTTAATGAAAAACAATCTCCTAGTATAGGAAATAAATGTAATTGAATAAGAAAAGACATACCAAGCAAACAATTAGGGGGACAAATATATGGCTCATAAGTCATAATACTACATGTACGCTCTTGTAAAAAGAGCACTACATGTACCACCTCACATAGGTTAGGTCATAAACTGTGCAGCATCTTTTAGTATGGTTGCTTCCTTTTTGTGAACCATGCTTTGCTACCAAAGTGGTTTTTAAGTTATGCTATGCTAACATGCTGATAAAATACTTTGGTGCATTAATGGTGTTAACCTGGTGCATCTTTGATGTATATCTAAACAAGACATTATGTGCATGCCTGGATGTGTATTTACCCATTTGTGCATCTTCGGAATTAGATATATTACTCGCTTCGCTCTCTTTAAAGGGGCAATTGCTTATTTGACCTCGTTTTGAATTGTAATTGCCGATTTGACCCTACTTTTTGAACTTTGCTTATTTGACCCTCATTTTCGAGTACGAAGCTCTGGTCTGACCCTATTCCGTTTGTGTGAGGTGACGGTGTTAATTTTGGGGTAAATAGTCCATTTTGCCCTTGCTTATTTGGCCCTGTTATATCTTGTTTGTTTGCTTGTTTGACCTAAAGTTTGGATAATATAAAAAAAAATCTCTTTCCCCGGCGGCGGCGGCGGCGGCGCACCCGCGGAGGAAGACGGAGGCCGGCGCGCGCTGGGGGGGAGAGAGCGGCGCCCTGTGCTCTTCGCCACAGCGTCGTCGTCGTCGTTGCCGACCGGTGGCGGCGCGCGCAGAAGAAGATTGAGGCCGATGCGCGCGGGGAGGGAGGGAGCGGCTCCCTGTGATCTTCGCCGTGGCGTCGTCGTTGTCGTTGTTGCTGACCCGGCGGCGGTGCGCGCGCGGAGGAAGACAGAAGCCGGCACGCAGACGGAGGGAGGAAGGCGCTGGAGCTCGCCGGCGTGCGGAGGGCGGGCGGCGGCATCACGCGCGCGGAGAAAGGAGGAGGCTGGCGCGCGTGGAGTGGTGACGGCGCGGCGCCGAAGCTCACCAGCTTGCGGGAGAGAGGCGCCGCCGCCGCCGGATCTGCGGCTCGTACACTCAACAGCCGCCGGATCCACCGCTTGCACACCACCACGGCCTGAGCTCCACCACCGTTGCTCCTCTTCCTCGTCATCGAGCTCACCGTCGCCGCCACGACAGCTCGGCGCCACCGCCCCCACAGCTCGGCGTCGCCGCCCCCACAGATCGGCGCCGCCCCGCGCCCCATCAGACCGCCGCCGCCCTCCACCTCCACAGCGGGCGCCGGCGGGGCTGTACATCACGCCGCTGCCGCCGCCTCCTCAGCTCGCCGCCGCCGCCCCCACAGATCGTTGCCGCCGCCCCCTCAGATCGGCGCCGACTCGGACCCCCTCAAAGCGCCGCCGCTGCCGCCCTCCACCACAACGAGTGGGCGCCGGCGGGGCAGTGCTTGACGCCGCCGCCGCCGCCCCCTCAGCTCGCCGCCACCGCCGCCCCCTTAGCTAGCCGCCGCCGCTGCACGCACGAGTGAGAGAGTGAGAGAGAGGTGAGACCGTGAGAGTCACGCACGATTGAGAGAGAGAGAGAGTCAAAATAGGGTTTGGAGGGTATTTTCGTCATTAGGAACTCTTGAAACATTTTCTTTTTAAAAAAAAATCGAACCCTAACGGAGTCATCAAAAGAGGGTCAGACGGAAGCTTCGTACTCGAAAAAGAGGGTCAAATAAGCAAAGTTCAAAAAGTAGGGCCAAATCGGCAATTACAGTTCAAAACAGGGTCAAATAAGCAATTGTCCCTTTAAAATATTAATGTAACACCTGTGCCTTGCTAATTTGCTATTGACTTAGTACCCAGCACATCAATGTGCCTTTGCTGCAGTCGCGCTGGTTCCTTTCGAGTTGAGATCTGCCTTAGCGCATTCCGAGCTTCACTGCAGGCCAGTTGGCACCAATACCAACATTCTCGGCCTACATCATACCCTAACTGAGAATAGTGATAGGCCTAAATCTCACACCAGGCATTGATGAACCAAATCCTATTTTATTTCTTCTCCAGTGTTTCTTTTCTAGTTGTAGCCAGAGCACAAGCCAACATTTCCAACGGAAGCATATTTGTTGATGCTGTTTTGTACTACCGTTTGCCAATGTTTATTGGCTTTACGCATGTAGCCCTTTAATGGGATTTACAATTACAATTAGTGATATTCAAACTGATGCATTCTTGATTAAGAAAACAATCAGAATCTAATGCTTGGACATTACTCACTTCACATTTTCATGTGGGGATCTACAGGAGGCTTATGGTAAAGCATCATCTGATTCAAGTGACGATGAAGAGTGGTATGGAAATAGTACACCCGAAAAAGGTAATTTAGAAGACAGTGAAACAGATTCGCTTGCTGAATCACCTCAGGGTGGAAAAGGATTCTCTAGAAGAGCACCAGTTAGGTACCATAATAATGAACATACTCCACAGAATGTAAGGCCCGGTGGTTCAGTAAGCGACCAGCAAACTGAAGTACTTTGCTCCAATAGCAATGGTAGCACAGCCAAAAACAGACATTTTGGTCCTGCAATTAATCAGGTATAAATATCAAATAATCAAATGTCTCATTATGTTAGACAATCTCCAGTCAACAAATAAGTGATGCTTTGGGAGCTGCATGGTCAAACTTTATGATTCTAACTATTGTTATCTCTAGGGATATTAGATCATGCATAATCTAAAGTGTAGGTTTGTCTCAAAAGTACTTTTGTAATATTATACTTTTATCATTCTTTATAAACATATCGTACAACAAAAACTAGCTGAATTCGTCATGCAATTACGTAGGACTAAATTAAAGTTTACTTTGAAGTATTGTTAGGTAGACAATCTACTTCAGAATTTGCATGGGAATCAAATTGCTTGTTTATTTTGTTTTATTCTGCATTCCAGTTATTCTTGTATTGTATTTGGTGTGAACTCTTCTAATATATTTCAATCCAAGTTTCAGATATTTATTAGTTGTATTTGACATGAATTATTTGTTATAATCTATAGAATTTTGTAATCTGGACCCTCAGGATTGTCAATATTGTAGATTCTTTTTTCCTTTTCTCCGATGATCTGGTAATATTTAGGCCTTGAGAAATAAGAATGAACATGGACTCCTTCCCAACTTGTTTTAATAAAATATGTAGTAGATTGGAGAAGTGAAAGTTAAGTTTTGAACACTGTCAATGCCTAAACCAACCTTTATTTGTCACTGGAGAGTATATTGCTTACATTACTAAATTGATCATTTTTTCATGCAGAAACTGAAGGCACATTTCAAGGAAGATCCATACCCTAGTCGTGCAACAAAAGAAAATCTGGCACAAGAGTTAGGCCTCACATTTAATCAGGTTTTAAAACAGTGATCTTTGTTCTTCCTCCCATGAGCACTTCGCAGGGCTGTCACTGTATCTCTCCTCCTTAATAGAGTTTCTGTTGACAGGTCACTAAATGGTTTTCCAGTACTCGTCATTACGCAAGAGTGGCAGCCACAAAAAAGGAGAACAACATTGAAAATCATACGGCTGAGAATAATAACAATACCAACACTGTTGATAGCATACAACTGAGAGGATCCAATGATATTGTTAGTGTAGATAGAAATGATATGGTCTCCGAGGAAAGGACAGGACAAAGTAATCTCAATGAAGGTACTCCATTAAGATCAGATACCAGCTGTGGGCAGAGTGTGGCTGTGACTCCTATGGTACACCCAGAAAACCAGGGCAATGATTCCTCAAGTAATGTTAGAACACCAAATGCTAAGTCTGCGGAGAAATTGATCCCTGGACTGGAAAATTCAGATGAGGCTAGGCGAAAGGCGGTACAACGGGAACTGAGAAAGATGAAGACTGGCAGGTGAAACTCCCTAGTGTTCGAGTTATTTGACCAGATGTGCAGAGAAGCAAGTTTTTGTATGCTGCCTAGATTGCTTTTAATCAGATGTGCAGAGAAGCAAAGATTTTTTTTCCTTCTTGTTTGTGGTCGCAAAAAAGCCTGATTGTTGTAGCTGCTATGTTTGTTCCCTTTGGCTGTCCATCCAGAATTTCTGATAAGATGACACTTGGAAGCACATCCTGCAGCACTCCAGTTACAGGAATGGGTTCAGTTGACTGTAACAGTTTAGCATAGTCCGTAGTGGACAGTAGCTGTGTTGTTTGTCGTGCCCTGTAGTCCTGTACTACCTTGAATTAGGACTGCTAAGTGAACCGATACAAGTACTTGTGACTGAAATCTATACCTCTTTTTTTCTTTCCACCTTGGGAATTTGTAGAACAAAACCGATGTCTGATGATATGCTATCTAGGAATAGCAACTGTTGTATTTTTGTTCCTGTTTAGGGAGATTTAGATTCTGATGAGCAGTTGGTTGGTAGCTAGCTTTTAAGAATTTGAAAAGGCTGGGTTTCCTAGTTTTTAGCTTCTACTTCTTTCGTTTCACAATGTAAAACTTTCTAGCATTGTCCACATTCATTTAGATGTTAATGAATCTAAACATAATGTTAATGAATTTAGACATTATGTCTAGATTCATTAACATATAAATGAATGTGGACAATGCTAGAAAGTCTAGATTCATTAATATCTAAATGAATGTGGACAATGCTAGAAAGTCTAGATTCATTAACATCTAAATGAATGTGAACAATGCTAGAAAGTCTAGATTCATTAACATCTAAATGAATGTGGACAATGCTAGAAAGTCTAGATTCATTAACACCTAAATGAATGTGGACAATGCTAGAAAGTCTTATATTGTGAAACGGAGGGAATACTTTATTTCATCAATTCTATAACTCTATAATCTCATAACTGGGTGATAATTTGAATTGTTTGGGAGCAGAAGATTCTTAGAGAGGATTCTTATGTTAAAGCTATCCTAAACAGGGTCTTCATTTCGTACTACACTAATACAGTATGCAACTAATTAATCGGCTTAATGCTCCATCGTTAAGGGACTGTTACATCCTCCTAAATGCCAAAAATTTTATCGATTTGGACCACTTTTTGCCAAAATGAATTTAAATACTAGTAGCAAAAAGTAGGTAAGTTAGCATTTGTCATTTGGGAGTCCATAGCAACAAATTTGGCAAAAAAAAAAAAAACATCGGGCCCTGTGCATGAAAGAGGCAGCAATAATTAATGGCAAAACTTTACCATGTATCTAAACACCAACATGTAATATTGTAATACCAAAAAAATTTGCTGCAGCAAATTGATTGAAACAACCCTTAACCGGTGAGTGCTTTGTATATACATACTGGGCCACTAGTCACTAAAGAGAATGTTTTTCTAATTTCGTGCCAGTTTTGTCCAAGTGGCATAACACAGTAGCATGCGAATGTGGATGAAGGATGCTTAAAAGTCTATTTTGCCTCGGCAAAATAAATGCAAGATTTGGTCCTGTCTCATCTGTGTATGTCCAATTTTTTTTTTAAACCTAAGCCAGCTAAAGTTACTAAGGTACTATTATTCTCGCAATGTCCTTAGCTCCACAAGCAGACCAAATCTTCACTTCATCCAGGATTTTCGCCGCTAGCTGAAGCATTGAGAGTTCTTTGCTTTTGAAGATTCACCTGTTCCTTTCGCACCAAACTTCCCAACAGAGCAGCATATGCAATGATTGCATTGTCCAAAATTTTTAAGGCGTTTTCAAACCGATGCACTCGCATTTTGTGCAATTTATACTGTGTTCTGTATGCATCAAAGGAAGCAACCGTTCCTGGAATGTTTGTGCTGCAATCTGCAAGGAGGATCAAGTCGCCGCCGGCTGACAGCGACCGCGACACCGTTAGGCCAACCAAGTGACCAACTCCTCCCCTTTTTTGCTTCCCCACATCAAAAATTTTCCTTTGCCGCGCTTTTCAGTTAGGTAAGCTAGGTGTATCAAACCAAGCTACTCAGACCAACTCCCAGTCCCAGCCTCAGTTTAATTAACCTCCAAATCCCATCATTCTTGATTAACTACTAGTAGTATTACGCATTAGCAAAATCGCCACACTTTTAATAGGAGGCCTTTTGCCAAGCAGATCACCTCGTCGATCGAGACACAGATCAAATTAAGATGGCTTGCAAGAAGCAGAAGTCGAAGCTCATGGCATTTTCGCTGGCGATGGTGGTGGTGGTGGTGCTGCTGCTGGGGCGGTGCCGCGGCGACGTGGTGCAGTTCATCTTCGGCGACTCGCTGTCGGACGTGGGCAACAACGACTACCTGACCAAGAGCCTCGCCCGCGCCGCGCTCCCCTGGTACGGCATCGACTTCGACACCGGCATGCCCAACGGCCGCTTCTGCAACGGCCGCACCGTCGCCGACATCGTCGGCGACAAGATGGGCCTCCCCCGCCCACCCGCCTTCCTCGACCCTTCCCTCGACGAGAACGTCATCCTCAAGCGCGGCGTCAACTTCGCCTCCGGCGGCGGCGGCATCCTCAACGAGACCTCCTCCCTCTTTGTAAGTAGTACTCCTTTCTTCTATATCGAATTATACGAAATTGTTGGCTTTCCACGTAACGTTTAATCATTATTTTATTAAAAAAAATTATATAAATATTATTTATTTTTTCGTTTGACTTTTTTCTTAACCAATGTTCTTTATGTTTGATTAAATTTATAGAAAAAATTATAAACAACATCAAATTAGTTTTATTAAATTTAACATTGAATATGTTTTGATAATATATTTATTTTGTATTAAAAATATTAATATGTTTTCTATAACGACTAAGAAAAAAATCTTAATATGTTTTCTATAACGACTAAGAAAAAATTAAATAACTTATAATATGAAATGAAAATGGAAGGGTATGATTTTAACTTATGCTTTTACATATAAATGGTTAAATATTATAGAAAAGTTAATGAAGTTATATATTTTGGGATAGAGGTTGCCAAGAATTTATCTTGTGCTCGGTGAACTGAAGAACTGAACCGAATATGTCACGCATGTGCGGTTGCAGATACAGAGATTCTCGCTGTACAAGCAGATCGAGCTGTTCCAGGGGACGCAGGAGTTCATGCGGCGCAAGGTCGGGAAGGCGGCGGCGGACAAGCTGTTCGGCGAGGCCTACTACGTGGTGGCGATGGGCGCCAACGACTTCATCAACAACTACCTCCTCCCCGTCTACTCCGACTCGTGGACGTACAACGGCGACGCCTTCGTCCGCTACATGGTGACCACCCTGGAGGCGCAGCTGCGGCTGCTCCACTCCCTCGGCGCGCGGCGGCTCACGTTCTTCGGCCTGGGGCCCATGGGCTGCATCCCGCTGCAGCGGATCCTGACCTCCACGGGCGCGTGCCAGGAGCCGACGAACGCGCTGGCGAGGAGCTTCAACGAGCAGGCGGGCGCCGCGGTGGCGAGGCTGTCGTCGTCGCTGGCGAACGCGACGTTCAGGTTCGGGGAGGCGTACGACTACTTCCAGGACATCATCGACCGCCCCGCGGCGCACGGGTTCAACAACTCGCGGGCGCCGTGCTGCTCGCTGGGGCGGGTGCGGCCGACGCTGACGTGCACGCCGCTGTCCACGCTGTGCAAGGACCGGAGCCAGTACGTGTTCTGGGACGAGTACCACCCCACCGACCGCGCCAACGAGCTCATCGCGCTCGAGACGCTCCGCAAGCTCAACATCACCGTCTCCGCCAACAACTCCACCTCAACCTAGCTAAGTAGTAGTAGTAGAACTAGTAGTATATTGGTTCAACGTACGTTCTCAGCGTTTTTGTTTTGGTTCGTACAAACATTGTAAAATCCTTGCGTTCCAAACGAAATTCGTGATTCATATATACATGATTCATGTGAAATTGTTCCTACGCTCATGGCTTATGTTTGGTTTGCCTGTGAGAAAGGTCCGGGGGTCTTTCGGTTAGCAACACCATAAGATATAGCCTAGGCCGACTCTGATTTAAATCTCACTTCTCTTAATAAATCTCGTTATAAAAGTTCTTTTTCTTATACTAGAAAAAAAATATCCATGCATTGCAACAAGACAAACTAAACTCCGATTTTTCCAAAAAATCTTCAAACTCAAAATCCCCTCCCCACCGCCATGCATATGCATGCCATGGTCATCCTCGGCCTCCTCCCTACCACGTGCGTCATTGTGCTCTACGCCGCCGGCCCGCACTTCTGCGCGGGCATCGAACTCGGCTCTGCCAAGAACCCCGCCATGGCCCCCCTCCCCGCTTGGTGGCACCCAAGACTACCCTGCGCCACTGCGCCACATGCCATCCTACCTATAGAGTAGATATGCAAGCGACGCTCACGGGCATATCGAGTAGTGCCAGAAGCCGATAGTCGCGGCGATGCGCGGCGCCTGCTTCAGTGGCAAAGTCGATATCGTGGCCACTTGTGATATACTCCTTCCGTTTCTAAATGTTTGACATCATTGACTTTTTCGCATATGTTTGATCGTTCGTCTTATTCAAAAAATTTTGTGAAATATGTAAAACTATATGTATACATGAACGTATATTTAACAATGAATCAAACGATAGGAAAAGAATTAATAATTACTTCATGTTTAAAAGGCGAACGGTCAAACATGTTTTAAAAAGTCAACAACGTTAAATATTTAGAGACGGATGGAGTATGATGCTAAGGACGCCATGTTCAAGCCCCACCGTCCCGCCGCCCCGCCATTGTTGCCATCCTGCTACTTTCAGGTCGTCTTTCTTCATAGGCGCGGCTGAAGGTAAGCAAAAGGCATCCTTCATGGCGCCCGTAGTCTCGGCGGTAGGGACCAAGACACTAAGGCGGTGTTCTATCAAGCGGCTCCCTTTGGCACGCAAGGTGTGGCCATGGACCGAGCAGCCAATCTTCGGGTGGACGAGCTGTTCAATGTCGCGGAGGCAAAGGGACGGTGGATGGCATCCTTCCTGGCACCCGCCGTGGTCGCGGGGGAGCTTCAGGAAGTGCCGCCCAAGCTTCCTCCCATTGACAGCGTCGTCTTCGACCCTTTGTCACCGCCCATCTTGTAGATCTCCTCACCAGCTCCTTCCTGGTCACGACTTACCTATTTGTGCGGCTAGCGGTGGGCAAAAGGCTTCCTTCATGGTGGTCGTCGTCTCGACGGTGGAGACGAAAACACTAAGGTAATGGTGTGGTGCTCGATCGAGCGGTTCCCTATTATGCACGAGCTGTAGCCGTCAACTACCGCCTAGCGCCAGAGCACCCCGTCCCCAGCTGCTACGATGACGTGTGGTCCACACTGCGGTAGGCTGTTGCCACCACCGCCGGTGCCGCGGATGCCGACCCATGGTGGCGAGCCTTCGTGCTCGGGCATAACACTCTCGCAAGAGATCGAAATGAGAAGAGAGATGAATAAAGAGAGGGGAGAGGAGAGTCCCTACATGTGGTCCCACCTGCCACATCAGCAGAAACGATTCTCCAAACCACCAAAGCACTTGGTTTGTACCTGTTGTTGAAGATGG